CTCTCTCTCTCTCTCTCTCTCTCTCTCTCTCTCTCTCTCTCTCTCTCTCTCTCTCTCTCTATATATACATATATATATATATATATATATATATATAGGGTGTCCATAAAGTCTCTTCACCATTTCAAAAATATATTAAAAATGCAATTGATATATTATATTGATATTTTATTCAGATTTGTTCTGTTGTAACATATATATAGACAGATAGATAGATAGATAGATAGAGAGAGAGAGAGAGAGACAGAAAGATTAATCAAAAGTATGAATGGTTTTTATAAAATCACTACTGTACTTTCTTAAGGTATTACGAGCCGCGCGTGTAAGGGTTAAAGCTTTAAGACTGAATATTCATTGTCTGAATATTGACCAATCAAAATTCTTGTCCCGCCTGCTTCATTTGCATGCAGCCCACGTACTAGCAGCCCCCGTACTAGCTAAATAAAATTGCTTACCAGTTGACATGTGTGCACAACTAGTGAACTTGTAAAGTTTTGTTACTGTCAAACATGTAAACTAGCCAAATGTGATTATTTCACTAGTAAACTAGATGTGTGCACGTCACCGAGTGCCCAGTTTTGTCAAACATGTTCAGTCAAAGTCTATACAAGTTCAGCATTGAGCCTGACAAGTGAGACAAAATACGTTCCACTAGTTAACTCGTGATATGAAAATCTGTGTCACTAGCTCACTAGTGTGTCACTCTGAACCCAACTAGTTTACTAGTGAGGAAACGTGTATCACTGGTTAACAAGTAAAGTGAAAATGAGCCCAACTAGTGTAACTCGTGGATATCTCTACATTGACTAGTGAACATGTTCACATTTTGAAACCGTCTAGTTAACGTGTAAGGTCAAATCGATTGCAACTAGTTTACTAGTTTGGATTTCTGGATTCACTCGTCGACATGTAACCAATAATGAGCATCCTCTAGTGAACTAGCTGCAAATCCTCAGGACAACTTGTAAACTAGTGTAAAACATGCAAATAAAGTGGGTGTGATTATGACAAAATCTGAATCCCGATTGGTGTATTTTAACTGCAGATCCAATAGGAATCCTGCAGCCACATTTCTGCCCCACCTCCTCATTATTTTTTGTGCAACTAGCTTACTAGTGAGCAGGTTGGCATCCACTAGTTCTACTAGTGAACATTTTAGACCTCACTAGTTGCACTAGTGCGACATTAAATGTCGCACTAGTGCAACTAGTGTATATTTGGGGCATCACCAGTGAACAAGTAACATTTTTGACACTCACTAGTTAGATATCAAGGCATCAAGGGGCTTTAACTAGTAAACTAGCTACTGTTTTTTCTGCCACTAGTAAACTAGTGAGTATTTCAGCTCGCACTTGTTTACTAGTGCAGGAAATCACGGGTCACAAGTTCACATGTTAGAATAATCCATGATTGACAAGTTAACATGTTGCTGAAAATGAATGACTAGTTGGAGTTCGTATGCAACTAGTTCGACAAAGTGTGTCACTAGTGTGGCTGAGTGTCGAATTAGTGCTGAAAAAGATCGAACTAGTGTAACACACTCATGTCTGATATCAGGGATTTGGGATAAATGCTCAAATGGCTTGCCATAGCGATGTTTCGATTCCTACAAGGGGGTGAGACTGTCACAGTGCGTCCCTGTACGGCAATCCAGGAGGGACTCATAATATTGGCGTCGGCAAATGACGAGCCATTTGAACCATTTAATACAAAATTCACGGGAACCACAAAGTCTTTGGAATCTAAAATGAAGATCCATTATTTTCCTTTCCCTTGTAAATTCTGTCGCAGATATTGTTGAACCGGCCCGAAGCAATATGTCAGCCAATCCACCTTATTGTTTGTGGCTTGAAGTATTCGCCAGTAATTCTGAAGGTAATATAAAATAATTGAGCTAGCGTGACATCATGCAATCAAAATCAATGATTATTAGTTTTTGCTTGATGATACATCTCCAAAGAGCAAGTGAAGGAGTCATTTTCCCAGTTTGCTTCACTTTGACAGATCCAATACGGATGGAACTCTTAATAACTGTTTTCCTGTAAAGAAAGGGAGTCAGCTCAATTTACAAAATACATGCATGTTATGGCGCATGTTCAGGATAGTACCAAATCTGCCTCGATTTGAGCCAGGAAAAACCCTGCATGTGTTTCATTTGTAATCTTTCTTTTGCATGTACTGTATTTCCGTTTGTGTCCTTTACTGGACCGGTAATTATTTTCTTGATTTTTGGAATACATGTTCAAAATAAAATTGTTAACTCTCTAACTGCATATTTACCATTTTTACCCAAAAAAATTAAACAGCAGAAAAGAGCATTTCAATATATAAATTGGCATTGATGATGTTTTCTTTTACAACTTTCATTCGAAATGTATTTTTGATATTCATTTTAAGTACAAAAATGTTGAAAACTTCTAAAGAGAGCTACAGTAGATGAGATGAGCAAGAAAGCCATCTCGACTTAACATCAAATGAAACATTTTGAAGTATAAACAGGTTGCCTTATTCCAGCTGGAAAAAAAGAACTTTTAGCGCATGTGAACGATGCACACTTGACACGAATAATCTTCAAGATGACAAAACCACCAGGTAACTGATAAATAATTGTTTATTTACACAAATATTTGCAAATACTAGTCTTCTACATAAGGACATAAAAATACAGTATATACAGTGGTGTCGGGACTCAATGTACACATTTTGATTTATTTTGCATTTCCATGTTTACAGAAGATGTACAGCAGGGTCAAAAGCTTAGTCTTTCAAACTGTGGCACAAGAACACAGGAGATTGATGTCCTTCAAGTGCTATTCAGACTTTGGATTACAAATTGCTGTAGATCCAAATATTGGCCAATCACAGAGCCACACTACACTTCAGTGAACTGCTGATTTTTACTCCAAATTTAACAGCATTTCATTCACCTGTCAAGAATTGATTCATCGAATAAAAATGCTATGAATACTCACATTGTCAACCTTAAACCATTCGTTTTCACTCATCGCAGGCCTGGCCACAAAACATTAAATGCAAACTACTCACCTTGCCATGCATAAAACTCTTCATTTTGGATACATGGATTTGTTCGTTATACATTTGCATCAGCATTTTCTCCAGTGTCTTAAGATTACTTGTCTGTGCAGTAACAAGGGCTCAAAAGCATTCAATTTTTGTCTCAACCAACAACTCCACATTATCCAAAGATTTACAGCAGGGGTCCCCAACCTTTTTTGCCCCACGGACCGGTTTAAGTCAGACAATATTTTCAGGGACCGGCATTTAAGGTGTGGCGGATTAATACAACAAAATAATATGGTATGAGCTGCATGAAAACTGTGGTGTTTTCGAAATATAATAATAAACACAAGGAGCGTCTAATCTGGTCGCAACACTCTTATCGCTCTGGTAATGTTTAATGCCTTCAAAATACGATACAATGCAAATTCAAAGTGCATGAAAATGACGACTCACCACAGCCCCGAGCTTGATTTTCTGCAATCAGACAGTCTCATCTTGGGGTAATAGGAGACAATGACACCTCAAGTGTGTGGTTTATGTCGAGTCTACTTCGTAATTTTGTTTTAGTCGCTGTTGCATCTCCAAGCAGCTTTTTTACTCATTTTGCTGGCTTCAGCGTTTTGTTTATGAGCGTCATCGGTCACCTGACCGAGAAGTGTGCCTTGACGTGAGTCAAGCGTGACACAGACGGATGTAACAGAGAATCCGGTAATTTTTCAAAATAAAACATATTTCGTATTCCGAAATAAATAAAACGGAAATAAGGCAAGTTCTTTCTGTGCGGCCCGGTACCAAATGCCCTGCGGACCTGTACCGGTCCGCGGACCGGCGGTTGGGGACCCCTGATTTACAGGACAACAAAAAAACTCTACTGCAGATACAGTTATTTTGGCCATGACTCTTTCTCTCTCCCTCTTTCCCTTTTTTGTGTGTTCTCTCTCCACAGGTAATGAGCAAATGATTTGCATGAAGAAAAAAACAACCCCAGTTTTTAAACACCTTTATCTATTGGGAGCAAACCTGGTTTGTTCCACTATTCTTTCCAATTAATGAGATTAAAACTTTGGTTAGGTCTTGAAGTATTTCAAGGAACTACAAAGCAGCATTTCTCAAGAAATCAATTACTCATCTACTGGGCCGCATCCAGCGGGCCAGAAGAGTGTGAGAGTGTCTTGTTTCCGAGGATGGTTTGGTCTCGATGTTTTGGCTGGTATGGCTGGACGTTTTTGAAATACTAATCAGACAGTAGTGTCATGCATCTGGAGCACAAAACAGCACCAGACACACAATGTGTTCAGAGTTTCTGGAAGCGAAACAAGTTTAATCAAGATGTGCTCCTATTGGTCCTGAGGGCAAATATCTCTTGTTTGCCTTCTGCCAACGTACTTCTTAAAGTACAACATAATTCTAACAAAAAAACGTAACAAATATGGATTACACTGTTTCCCCCTTGAATGCATTGCTGCATTTAGAGAAATGAATATCAGTGTGTTTTATCTACACGGGACAGTCATTTCGTATGTCACGTGAGCATGTTAAACTGATAGGAGGAGGAGACAAGGAAGAACAAAAATCATAAGGTTTTGATGAGGCTTAGCCACGCAGACTTAAGATGTAGAGAGCTGGTAGAGTTGCACCTGTCTCCATCGGGATTTGATGAGGGGGTCACTGAGGGGCTCCGGCAGCAGTGGGCAGTGGAGAGCTCAGAGCATTGGTGGTGGCAGACAGCACAGGCGAGCCAGTGAGTGGACCAAGGGCAGTCGAAGCTGGCAAGGCAGAGATACCTGGAGAAGTGCCAGAGCTACAGTTTGACAACAAATAGACAACAGCACATGCACTGGAACACATGATAACCACCTGCAGGCTGCAGGTTTTATGCCAAGAGCACAATTTCCTAAAAGCCGTGCAAAACCTATATAAGTTGGGATCGCAATGTTAGTCCAAGCTGTGTCTGGATGCGAGTCTGACTATGTCTAATTGGGACATCTTTGCCTTCCGCACCTGCTCGGGCTCCTTCCCTGTTAGAGAGGTGAGATTCCATGTCCCGAGAAATTGTTTCTGTAGCTGGGGTATCGGACCAGTTGACCGCCGTGCTGCACTATAACGATTCTTTTTAAGTTCAAAATTTTACTTTGTGTAGTCAGAGATGAAAGTGGACTTTCCTGAAAATTCCGGAAAATATTTTGATTTATATATACATTTATATATACATACAACACTCGCGTATATTGCACGTATGTCAGCTTGCCTGTCTACCTGTTTGTATGCTGGGCCCATACCAAGCAGATCACGCATGAATTAGTTTACACAAAACGCTATTCAAATACTTGACATTCAATGATTAATCTGCCTTTTGTTTGCACACGTGCACCCTTTGTGGCTTCCGTTCTCACCGAAATTTTGAAATCTCCGAGATATGGCGAGACCATGAGAATGCGAAGGGAGGGGTGTTACTGTTACTAGTGTTAGTGCCTCAATATGGCTATGCTCGTGAAAGCAAAATTTGGACAAAAAGGGAAAAACACAGATTAGCAGAAAAACGTGTCTGTCCGACCTCGAGCGTCGAGTCGTCTCCGCGAGCTTAGCTGTTGTCGTAGATCAAAGCTTCTTTGATCTGTGACGTCGGTTGCGTCGGCACTGATTGGTTGAAACCAAAAGACGCGCGTGCGTACATGTTCGCGCTGACGCACGCACGGCAGAGAGAAGCGGACTATCGAGTGCTGAGGCGCGCTTCGCTCGAGTGGTGTCGCTACAAGCAAAACAACGAACTCAAACTCATGTTCGTTCAATGTTGTCAACTAATATCCGGATTAATTTTAGGCAATTTTTTTCTCAATTTTTCCGGAGGAACTTTCATGAAAATTTGAAAATCCAGAATTCCGGGAAAATCCAAAGGACTTTCATCTTTGTGTAGTGAATCTATGAATTTCACTTTTTGAACTGAGTGCAGAAGTTTGTTTTTCAATGATATTCCAATTTATTGAGATGCCCCTGTATTTCTCTGTTTCCCTATCTATATGATGGCTCAGAAATTCCGTTGCCAAGGCACAAAGATAAAGTGGAAGAAACAAAGATATGAGTACCATATTTTCCACATTAGATGGCGCACCTAAAAGCATTCTATTTTCCCAAAATCCAACAGTGCGCCCTATAATCCGATGAGCTTTAAATGTGGTGTCACAGTCTCTTTATAGTCCCCATTGAGTTCTTTCCCTGTTAGTGTTCCTATGCCATCTTGTTGTGATTATTCGCAGGAACCAATTGTATTCGAAAAGGGTTCTTCCCGACACTAACTGACATGTGCATTTGCCAACATACACTCAGACAGCTACTTTGTGAGCTCTGCTCAGCCATAATGAAACGAAGATAATACAAAAAGCATAGTTAACGACTGACTAAATAAAGGAAGAAGGAGACAAGCAAGACTTCTAAAGCAGCGGTGTCAAACATATGGCCCGCGGGCCGGAACCGGCCCCCAAGGCCGCTCGATCAGGCCCGCGGGATCATTTAAAAGTGGAAAAATGCATAAAAGACACGGAATAAATATTTTTAATAAGGTGCAATTCATGGAGTATCCGCTAGGGGACGCACTGTTTTGATCAGAGAAGAAGACAACAGCAGTATCAGCCTGTCACTGAGACAGACCTAACACAGGAGACGCGACATGCGAATACTTTAGTCTTTACACATTTAATAGCACTCTCCTTAGTTTGTAAGGTGTCGGCAGGGATTAAATTTCGATTTTATATTCACATGTGTAAATGGTTTAAAAATTCTTTTCTTTATAAATCTCTTTTAATCTTAAAATGCATTACTATATTTTTCAAGACCAATTACTTGTTAAAAGTTTTGTGCCTTTGTACAATCAGTGGGATCAGTTGCAATGCATATATGTGAATGATAAAAGTAAATTGCACATTTGTCTAAGGAAATCTAACGTGCTTCATGAAATGGATATTTAGCCCCTTGTGGATGTGAGCCCAGGAGGTTTGTGTGCCTTTTTGTTGAATCAATTGTCTTCATAACTTTTGTCTTTTATTTATTGTTTTGTAACGTCATTTGTATTTATGTTTCATGTCCGTGTTTGTGACCAGTTCTAATGGCTTTGTTACAGCTAGAGCACTTGTGGAGGCTCAGTATTGATAAAGCTGTATTGTATGGTATTCCTGTAGCATAGCACCAACTAGTGTATGCATTGCGCAACCGCAGCCACCATTCTATGCGCCTTATAATACAGTGTGCCCTATATTTGAAAACAGTTATAAAATAGGCCATTAATTGAATGTATACCTTATAATCCGAAGCACCTTATAGTGCAGATAATACTGTAAATAAACATTTTGTCACTGTCCGGTGACAGTTCTGTATGTTGCATTATCTTTTTCCGATGAACAATATGGTGTTTTGAAGCAAAGTACGCAGAAATAAATTGTCATTAAGATATTTGGAGGCCATGAGAAAACTGAATAATATGTAACTCGACAATTAATTCAAAAGCAATCTCATCACAGGTATACTGTTTAAATTCGATTTCACAAGAAAAAAAAATCTTACAAGTTATAAGTAACAACTCAACCATGTAATTCATTCAAGCTAATAGACTGAAATGATTGTTGGGGGGCCAATGGGAGCTCTTACCAGTGATAATGCTGGCTGTGCTAACAACTGGGTTCCCAGTGGGTATGTTGGCGACTCCAACTCCACCACGAGACTGGTCCTTAACAACCGGGACTAAAGGAACAACAAAAATAATAGTAAGAAAGGTGTGCTGGAAGAGTGAGGCTTCAAAAACAGGCTGGATAGGAGCGAAGTCAGAGTCACACTCATAGTTTTGTGTTAACAATGTGCAACTTATATTTAACATGGCTGTTACTTGACACATTCAATCAATTCCAGGTGTCAGGCACACTTAAATAATGATTAACAACCTTACGATGGAAAATGCCGCAGCATGCCCCAGTGCATCCTGGGATCCAAAGAGCAACTGGAAAGTACATTTGTTTTCCCCACAAGAACTGGTAACGGTTTAAGTGCAGAAAGTGCAATCCTGGTCCCTGGTACTCGTCTGCACCTACAGTAGTATGAAACAGTGTTTACCGCCTTCCTGATTTCTTATTTTTTGGCATGTTTGTCACACTTAAATGTTTCCCATCATCAAACAATGTAAACAGAAAATGCAGTTTTTAAATGAAGGGAGGGACGAACTAATCCCAGCCTACAGTCCATACCCCAGGGTGAAAGAATGATTGCCCACAAAACAGAATAACCGTTTGGGCCACCCTGAGCAGCAACAACTTAAATCAAACATTTGTGATAACTTGCAGTGATTCTATTACAGCAGGGGTGCCCATTACGTTGATCCTGATCGACCGGTAGATCTAGGACAGGCCCCAAGTGTATCCGAGGGGTGTAGAGGAGAAGAAAAAAAATAACCATTTGTGTGTCTTTGTACATGTTAGTAATATATTTTTTGTGTTAATGTACGCTGCACCCTCACCCTCAATCATCCTATCAGTCTCATTTTCACGAAAAAATATTTTAAAAATAAAAAAATAAAGCAAGTAAATCATTAACCTACGGTGGCGCGTGATCTACGTCACCGGAAGTTGTTCAGCAGTCTGCAATTGCAGCTTGTGATCAGAGCTGTTGCGCTTCATCTTTTATCGTCATTATTCTCATTCAGTTTGCTTCGTGTACAATTCACCGAGGGCACGGGCAAAGAATAGGAATCTAGAGGGCCCAGGGAAGCGCTTTAAAACGGTACGTGTGAGCTAGCTAAATAGTTAACAGGCTGCAAAGGCGCATTGCATGACTCCGTGTCAGGCTGTTTCTCATCATGGCGTGCGTATGCGTGCGTGCGCGGTAAGGGGGCGATCCCGGGAGGTTGGTTGATCGAAAAGTCGATCTGAGGTCCAAAAAGTTTGGGCACCCCTGTATTACAGTGATGTGGAGAAATGTTGTCACACTCATATTTTCAGTATTGTTGAGGTCTTACTTGGAGAAAAGGAGTTAGTTCGAGATCATTATAAGTTTTGAATCTGATCGAATGGCCATGATGTGGGGTTCCCCAAGGGTCAGTCCATGGACCCCTTTTGTTCAGTCTGGATAACCTTTGGTTCAAATGCATCTGAACGCCGATGTTGGCAACCATGGTTATGCAGATGACACACAACTATATTTATCAATGCCCCCTAATGACAGCAGTTCAATTAATGCATTGTGTCACCGTCAAGAGCAAATGAAAATTACATGCAGCTAAATTAAAACAAAATAGAGGTAATTGTAATTGTTTTAGACAATAAAGAATAGAGGACTGCTGTTCAAAAACACCTGAAGTCTGTGGTATTAAATACCAAAGACCTGACATTCAGCAATTATATATAATTGATCACACAAATAGCCTTTTACCAGCTACAAAACATCCAGAGTGAAGGGTTGCATGCTCCAAGCAGACCAGGACAAATGTAGCCATGCTTTTATCGCTAGTCGACTTGATTATCATCTCCGAAATGGACATCAAAGAGCTGCAGCTGGGTTTTGACTCGAACAAAGAGATCAGAACATATTACTCCAGTCCTAAAGGCTTCACACTGGCTCCCATTCAGTAGAAAAGATTTTAAAATTCTGCTGCTACCGTACATCTCTGAGTGGTTTGAGTCCCGAATACATGAAAGAAACGCTGATTGAATACAAGTCCAGTAGGGCTCTGAGAGAGAAGGACTTTGGTCAATTAGTAGAGCTCAGAGTTCAAATTAAACATGCTGAAGCTGCATTTACCTGTTATGCTGCACAAAAATGTGATAAACTGCCAACAGAAGTGAAGTCATCCCGAAGTGTAAATGCTTTCATATCCAGGTTAAAAATGTTGCTCTTTTCCCCACCCCTTTGATTAAGATATTATTTTTATCTTCAAATCTTTTTTTCTTTTAGTTATTTTAATAGAATCCTACTCATTTCTTTACTCTTAAATGTTTTAAATGTTTTCTGTTAATATGTTTCAATGTTGTCAATGTATGTTCTTTTAGTATTCTTTGGAAGCAACTTTTGTTTTCTGTGCTTTGCTTCTGAATGTCATTAACTGTTGTGTTTGTATTTGTATGAGTTTTTCTTCCAAGATGGTGCCCACGTAGGCAGCCGTCGGCAAGTGCTCTTCAAGAGCCTTGCTTTTTTGTTGTTTTGTCTTTTGTTTTGTCACATGGTGTTTGTTGTTTGGTCGTGTGGACCTGATGTGGACTGTTTTCAGCATTTTTTTGGCCATGACATTTGTCAAAGGAGAGGCGAGAGGAGTCAAGTGCGCTCAGTTTGACAGAGGACCGATTTTCGGTTGTAATCCAAGGCATAAAAAACTCGAAATTTTTGGTCAAAAACCGATTTGGTCGAGAACAGAGACGTTCGAAAACCGAGGTTTGACTGTATGTACAGAAATTGTACGAAGCGGAGAAGGCGAAGGTACGCCAAGCGGGAGAAGACACTGTTTCGGGAGAGAAACAAGAGACTAGGTTGATGAGCCTCTGGTGAATAAAGAGGAGGTAGCCTGTTGAATACGATGTATGCCACTGACGCGATTGTTACTTGTTTGGAACTATTTTGTGTGGAAGAGTACCGTGTTTCTTGTCCCTATAAATAAAGGGGGTGGAGCTTCCCTGTGTTCGTCTGACAGTGACGGTGCGCTGAGGCACTTTGAGAGTTCAGCGGTGCAGTGGTAGCGACCACACTGAAAATAAAACGTCTCCAGTGTTGTGCCTCGAACGAAGTGTAGTCATCCGAAATGATGTCTACACAAAACCATAGAGACTTCCGCCCAAGAAGGACCAACAGAATCAACATAGCCTGACTGCTGTGTTCAAAGAAAACTTGAGAAAAACGAAGTATGCAATCCAATATAGGCTGAGCACTAGTTTACCTTAGATGTGCACTTTATAATTTTATATTGCTCTGTTTTGATTCCCTAAAAAGAGCTGTTAAAGGAGCTGTTGTGTGACAAAATGTTTTTTCACTGTTGTTGATGGACAGTAACATTGTGTGAGACATTATGTGTGAATAATCGCTCCAAGTGAAAAATGTTCATGTAAAACTGAATATCTAAATTGTTGTTTCAGTAAATATTTTATACAAAGAAAACTGATCCACGATTCCATGTTGATGAGAGCATTAAAATAGAACAAAAAGTGATTAATTGCGATTAATTATGAGTTAACTAAGACATGTGTGCATTTAATCACAATTAAATATTTTAATCGTTTGACAGCTCTAATATATATATATATATA